CCTAAATGTCATTATTTGTTTCTTAACAATGAGCAATAGGAAAACAATTTTCATAATGATGATATTATAGATTATTTAGAGTTTCTGCATTTCTGAAAAAAGCCCTTCTAATGGCATTTTTTTAGTTCAGAAAAATGTCCATAACTCATAAACTACACGGTAAATTTTGTTTAAATCTTGCATGCAGGTGACATTTATTAAGGCATATAACTGTCCTATGTTGTCAATTATACAGTTCCTTCTAGTGCCCATTAGGGGTGTTCTACCTTAACACGCAGTTAAAATGTATTATAAAATATCATGTATTAGTTCGAAGTAAAGAAATTACTCGAACCAGAATGCATATTCAATTGACTATTTCTAACAAAAATATTCACATTTGCAAAATATTCCTTATTATTAATATTGTTGTTATTTTAATTTGAACTGAAATCGTCTGTATAATATTATATTTAAATATGCTATGTAAAGCAATTGTATAAACGTTATTATAAATGATAAGTTTATGAATTATTACATACAAATTTTTTGCCTTTTATGGTACGTAGTTACTTATATTTAGCATCACATACAAATGTACCTTTGGTTGTTTCGCTCACTATTACTCACACTTCCATATCGTTTTATCATACCTTTATTAGGTCATTTTACCATATATACTCGAAAGTAAAAAACAAATGATCACGAAGTAAAAAAAATCGTTGAAATATTCAAATACATGCTTCAGGCACACGTGTACGTAAATGATATTGCTTTTGTATCTGATATTACTGGATCGATCTCCTGTATAATTATTTGTAAAGCTTTCTTATCATCTAATTATCACGAGATATCTGGAAAAAATAAAGAAAATCAAATGACTTGAGGAAAATAACTTCTTTGTTTTGTCAATTCCCAAAGTATGCAAACAAGTTTTGTGTAACTTCAAATATTAATCAAAGCACAGTTCTAAGGCGCTGAATTTGTTTGGGTCTCAGAAAGGTGAAGGTTGTGAGATTATAAACCAATTTGTTTTTGTATAGTGCCACCAATGCTTTCCAGTGTTTTAATTGAAGTAAATTGGCTATAAGACTCATTGCAACACTGATATTCAATTCAATGTTTTTTTTTTACTTAAACAATTTGAAAAAAAAATGAGTTGCCTTAACAAGGATTTGAACTCGAGACCTCTCGCTTCCTAAGAGAGCGCGCAAACTCTTCGGCCACGGTGAAGTTATGATATTGGCCTGAAGAAAACCATATTATTCTATATTAAGGTTCTACTTGAAAGACCCTGGTTGGGTGGATCTGGGACATACGATAAGTTATAGTATGTCCCAGGGTGGATTCTGCTGATCTTGACACAGGCCTAGGGACTGTTATAAAAGAAAGAAAATAAGATATTGAAGATGAAAAGGATAACATTAGTGTGACCACTAATTAAGTTTATAATGTACATTAATGTTCCATGTACAAGTTTTATATTAAAATCATTTTGTCTTATTGCGAGCATATTTTATAGTTAAATCATCCGTAAAACAGTTCCATCTTGAATATTCGCATTTTAGACCTGTCCCAAACAGTAATGATTTTTAGCCAATCATCGATCAATATTTACTGCTTCACCTGGTTGCAAAAGTTGTTGTAAAATGGCCGACTAACGTCAAAATGAAAGTAAGGAGGTAATATTAACTGATATATATGTCAATAATGTAAAAACAATCGCGGTGATGTAGATATGTATTTAGATACAGTATGACTTTCTTTATTATATGACAGTAGACAAATAAGTCATTTGTCAGGCAGGTGAAAAATATGCCCGATCGGGTAGAAAAGAAATAAAGATATTTCTTTTAAACTTTGTTTGTTTATTGAGAATAATATTTGACATAAAAAGAAAGAAAAATGTTTGGCTAATGTCACATTTGCGAGATTTATTTCCATTTCCCTTTTTTGTTTTTATACATTAATTTTGAAGACCTTAAAAAATATGGTTACATTAGGGGGTTAGCCTATACAAGAGATTTCTGATCTCGCGACCCTACGCTGGATAAAGTAAAGTAAAGTAAAGTATTAGCTTAAGGTCTTCAGCGTACCCGTTTATATACTATGATATGACGTGAGTGCTGAAGACAACCCCGTAGTGAAAGTCCACCAATAATCGTGCCAGGAATCTGACACGCTCGTATTCATTCATCGGACATGCCATGAAGTAAAGTGAAGCATTCCTTGATAAAACTATATATAATTGTTGATAAGCCAAGGATGGAAAATTATAAATCTTATTACGAACATAAACTACCAAACAGTTTCCGACAGATAGAAATTCCGGCACTTGGCCGCCATATTGCTAAAATGTTTGACCACATGATTACGAGATTGAACTTTACGAACTCATGTGCTTCCACACGACTCTATTCTAATCGGTTCCCGCGAATGACGTCATACGAGGTCTCGCATGGCACCTAAATGTCCTGGCCTACTGTAGTCGTCGTTATAGATGTTTTAAAGTTAAATAGACAATTTTAATGACGGTATTAATATTTTGATACTTTAATTGGTATAGAACAATGTTAAAATAATTGTTATATCGTAAAATGCACAAGAATTGATTGGGTCAAGTGTATTTGCAAATAGAAAATAAGGTTAAATCAACTTATGTTATTGTGGTTAGGTTTCGTAAAGGGTCTAATCCAAAACTTTAATGCCGTATCAGATTAGAATAAAAAATGTTAAATAGCGGCTTATAAAGTTTTGGAAGCCAGAACTAATGTTACATATGCAAAGTGTAAAACAAAATAGGTTAAATAACTTCTTTATACTCTAATTCATTGCGCCAACACCTGTCAGCATACATTTCATTCAGTTTTCAGAGGAAAATTTGAAGTATAATGTTCAGTGTCAAAGAATTGTCAAAATATAATGCCAGAAAACAGGGTTGGCAAAAAAACGGGTTTTATGAGTATTGCCTAGTCTCAATATTCGACTGCAAGACTGACTGATTTTATAATCTGATTTTTCATAGATGTCTGTCTTTAGGGCGACCATCGTCTATATAATAAAAGCCCTAAAGCGCACAATTTGTTGGGCTAGAGTATTGCCCAGCCTAGTGGGTATTACTGGGAAAACCCGGGTTTTTCTGGGTAATACTGGGCATTTCTGGGTAATAAAAATATCAATATAGCAAATACTATTATGTTATGTTTTAAATGTATAGTGCTTATAAAGATGCATTTTCTTTAAAAAGAAAGGTATTTAATAACAAGTAACTTGAAGTGATAATTGTTTGAATGGCAACAATATCATATTTATATACTGGCATGCAAGCAATTCCCGTACAGAAGCAGTTCCCATATTTTTTCGTTTAAACGCTTTCTTTTTACTTGCATTCTTCAAAAATTAATATCAAATCAATCAGTTGCATAAACGAGACAGTTCGGCAGTACGTATAAAAAGTTTCATTTTAAATCACTTTCACCTGTGCATTGTCAAAACCTGACCTTGTTTACTTTGGGGGATTCAGTACTTGGGCGCCTGCGCAAAAATACTTACATTTTAGGCGTGTTAAAGGGTTTTCCACTAATACCACCTGTGTACAGATAAGTAGGCAATGGGATGAAAACTTGTTTATCAGAATTTTGGCCTACATTACTATATATATTTAATAATTTTATTGCTTTAATGCGTAAAATATCATGCATACAAACAAGCCATTGCATGTGAATGCGTTGGGGTAACGGCATCGGATAATAGATACCAGGGTTTAGTCTACGCTCTATTTCCTGAATTACATCTGGGAAAATGGTCTGTTCAACCATTATAAATGAAAAATAGGTCTGATATAACAACATTGTATAATTAGATTGCGTTATATTTTATGTACGGGAACTACTTCTCTTCGTACAAAATAATAGATAATTTCGGTACCCCATATGAGGCCTCATAACTAAGGGTTATTCTATGTTTAGATAATGATGGAATTTCTATGATTTGTGTGATGAGCTGAATAGTGATGTGGAAAATTCAATTTTTTGGTGAGTGAGCGTAATAAAAAATAAATTTCAAGTTACTAGGATTTTTGTACGGGAACTGCTCGCATGCCAGTATAGCATATATATGGCTTTACATGGTTTTCAGCCAGGTTTTCTGAAACAATACTATTAAATAATTATAATCAATCAAGAAGTTGAGTCAACTCAAGGAGGTTCCAATATCACTCTTACATTACAAGATAAATTTTAATAAAATACATAAAAATTAACAAAAACAAGCCTTTATCTTAAGTATAGATTTCACATTGAATGCAGTAAGCACTCTATTAAGTATTAAATGAGATTTTCAGTTGATCAGATAATCTCATTGTGTGTACAGAGAAGATTTCTTTACCCAGAGATAGTGGAATTTTAAAGTTGTGAATTTCCCAGTTTAAGAATGATGGACTTAGGCACAAATGCAGCTATTTAATTTTACAGTAATGCATAAGTGTATAGTACATGTCCTGGTAAGAAATAACATTTTTTTGTGTGAGTTTGATGAATTCCTATATCAAGACACTTTCATTGAGCTTCCTATAGTATATTTATATAATATATTGTGACTTTTTTAGCTTAGTGCAATAACTCATTAACTCATATTGAATTTAGAAGAACTTATTCCATTACTGCACTAAGGTGACGAAATATACTGTAATATACTGTTTGCCTCTTTAACTTATAACATTTTGATATTGAAATCACTTATAAAAACAGTTCAGAGTTTCCAATTCAAAGTTGTAAAAGTTAATAAATAACTAAAGCATGATAAGTGTGAAAAGTATCCTTTCCATTTAAGCACATGTTTCAAAGTTACATTAAAGCAAATATATCTTTTATTCATTTGTTAAACACTTCACATTTACTTCAATGCCTGAATTATGAAAATTTGAACCAAACAAAATTGCTGAATAGATTTTTAAAAGGGATATGTTGTTGGAAAATTTATGAATATTGATTTTAAATCAGTTTACGTCAAATGTCATGTGTTGTACTATAGGGTGTATACTTTAATTCTGTCATTGAATGAATGAAATAGAATAAATTATATATACAAGACTGATAAATATTTGGCAAAAGAAAGTCTGTTATCTTATAAAAGGATGTGAAGTATAACCCCATGTGTAAAGATGTATTTAATATAACAGATGTTATTTACTGGATTTGATTATTTTTGTCTTTTTTTTTTCTGGAAGAAAATACATTTGTACTAGGAAATGTGGTTCTACAGTTAAAGGTATTCTAATTATGTTCTAAGTATATAAACAAATTTTTACATATATAAAATTATGAGGACTATTTTCAGACCGCCTAGCTGTCAGATTGTCACAGTACCACATTGAATTAATGAATACTAGCAGTTAGATACAAATGAGCCACACCATGACAAAACCAACATAGTGCATTTGCGACCAGCATGGATCCAGACCTGCCTGCGCTTCCGCACAGTCTGATCAGGATCCATGCTGTTCGCTATCAGTTTGTCTACTTGTAATACATACAGTTTGTAAGCGAACAGCATGGATCCTGATCAGACTGCGCTGATGCGCAGATTGGTCTTGATCCACGCTGGTCGCAAACACACCATGTTGGTTTTGTCATGGCACGGCTCAAATAAAGTCTTGCCTAAGTGATTACAAAGTTATACCCAGATAGCCGGTATATCCTTGCAGTTTTGTGACCTAGCTGTTTTAAATAAAGAACTGATTGTGTATAACTTGACATTGTGTTCACACAATTATATAATTATATATAATTATATATGTTCACATACATTAAATTTTTTTTATAAAGATTTGAACATTTAATGATGATTTCAGATATTTGAGATAGTTTATGGTTTAAAAAAATCTCTTCCAGGTCATGATTACTGAGTTTTCCTATAAGGTGAAAGGTTAAAAGGTCAAAGTGAGACTAGATGAGATAGAAATCATGACATCTGGTTCTAAATACACCCCTACAGAGCATTGGTATGTTCCGAAGACAGGGGACCGGTCCACTATTGGACAGAAGAAGATCGATGAGTTACAAAGACAGATATTGAAGATGGAAAATGATCGGAAAGATAGAGAACTGCTACGACAAAAACTTGACCGTCTTCAAGCTGTACAGGATGAGAAAAGAGAAGTGGAAGATAAAGTCTTGGTAAATATTTTAAATGTATATATTATGCTCAAATATGATATTTGAAAATAATGATAATTGCTACACAGTCTCTTTGTAAATATTAAGTATACATGTTTTTACTTCACACAAAGTAGATAACTACACTGTATACTTAATACCCTATACACTGTAAGTGAACACAAGGTAATAGTGTCATTAAAAAAATCTATCAGTTTTTCTTTAAGAAAGGACTAGCTTTTCTTGACTCATTATTAAAGGAACACAGGTTTCCATACAAAGATTTTACCTTCTTTTATTTAAATAAGACATTCAATAAGAATTAGACAAATTCAATAAGAATTTATACTTTATAAATGTATTATTATTTCAGGTCAGTTAAAGAATTAACAGTAAATTTATTCACATTTTCATATATTAACAGAAATTTACAATATTTTAAAAATTGTTTACATATGTTAGCTTTTATCTAATTATATTTGTATACACCTTTTACTCAAATAAAAGAGTGACATGCTCTAAATAAGTGTTTGACAAAGTCAAAAATTAATATTTGCATAAGATCATAGTTATTTGTTTCAAGATCTTGCAGGTTGCAAGTGGTACATTGCTCTTAATGGTGCACTGAGCATTTTTGCAGTTGTTAAAGTCTAACGACTGAAGTTGTCCCTCCCTTCCTAAATCCTTGAGTGATTATATTGATCCTGTGACATAGTGCACCATCGTCCTGGTGCCATTACTTGTTGATCTGGTTCAATGAATAGTGATGTCCCTCAGTGTTCCTTATTTTGTGGCTACTCATTAAAATTTCACAGAGAGTACAGTACATGTATATACATGAATGTTGTTGTATTTCAGGAAAGAAACAGTAGAAACAGCACACCCAGACTTCTACAAAGTGAGATGGAGAGATTGTATGGGAGAGACTCACATTTAGGTGAATGATTGTTAGAATATCTTGACTTGTTTTAGGCTAATACCCTTGTTCAATTTCGAACTGACCTCCTTTACAAATTTATGTGGTTGCAATGTTAAAATACTTAAATAAATCTGTCAACAGTGATACATGCCAATGACATTGGTGTGCAGACTGGTTTACAAGTTACTATTGCCTTTTGCCTTCAAATATTTATCATGTAAGCCTTTATCCAGCAGATTGTTTTAAATGGACTTAAATGTCCATAAGGTATAGATATCTATATGATAAATTGATGTTTATTCAACAGTAACTATTCTAGTAAGCCTGCATGGAAGTGCAGATTGGTCTGGTTCTATACTGGCAGATAGGAAAAAGTCTTGTTTACTTTTGATTCCTGCATTCTAAGGGCTATAAATCAATTATCTTATGATTTGGAATAAGTTTATTCCGTAACAGAAAAAAAGTTTGTGAATTTTTCATATTTTTATGTTAGTATGAGTATATTGTTAAATTTCCTAGAATTGCTCTTCACTGCAATGTATGATACCAAAATCATTGAACTGAGATGGTAATTTAAAAGTTGTATTGATATTACATTGTATTCTAATATAACAATCTGTTCCTCAGTCAGTATTTGAGCCGCGTCATGACAAAACCAACATAATGTGTTTGCGACCAGCATGGATCCAGACCAGCCTGCGCATCCGCACAGTCTGATCAGGATCCATGCTGTTCGCTTACCAACTCTATTACAAGTAGAGAAACTGATAGCGAACAACATGGATCCTGATCAGACTGCGCGGATGCGCAGGCTGGTCTGGATCCATGCTGGTCGCAAACGCATTACGTTGGTTTTGTCGTGACACGGCTCATTTATTTTATTGGATGTTTTCAGATAGGAACAACAGTCCTGGTCTAGATAGGAATGTTATAGAAACAGTGATACAGCATAGGACCAAAGAATTCTCACAAAAACAACAGGAGGCAGCTCTTAAAGCAAAGTATAACTTTTATGTTTTAAGTATTTACAATCACTAATGATTGAGTTAATCTTTTGCCCCACCTAACAACTGTTGGTTTGTATATAGGTGTTAATAATGCATTGAATTTTCTCATGTGAGTATGGTAGTCAGTTAGTATAAAGAAGATCATGCCTCATAATCACTAAGAACAGAGGTAGATCAGGATCAAAATCATTTGTTTATAAAACTTAAAATCGATTGTATTAGGCTAAAATTAAATGATACATAAAAAAGTAAACAATTGAAAAGAAACAAGCATATTTTGTGATAGAATTGAAGAATAATGATGCTTATTCTAAAATAATCAGATCAAAATAAGGATCAATTTTAGGATTAAGAAAAACCAAATTTTTTCTAAAATTTTATAAATATGCTATTTCAAGTCCACCTTTATCAAATTGGTTTTAAGTGGGTCAGGGCTTCCACATACAACAATTCAACTTACAGGAACACCTATGATTTTTTACATGACAAATTTTTTAAGATAAGGTCTGTACCAAAAACATTTGTGCAAAATTAAGATAAATTTCTCATTCTGTTTTTTTCCCCCAGAATAATCATTTTACCTGTATTATGCAAAATAACCAGAAAGAGTGAAGTCTTCAAACTTTTTGTGTCGCCTCTACGGAGTAGTGGCGACATATAGGGATCACTTCTCCGTCGTCTGTCTGTCCGTCTGTCTGTCTGTCCGTCCGTCTGTCTGTCCGTCCGTCACAAAACTTGTCCGGACTACCCCTCATAAACTACTGGTGCAATTTCATCCAAACTTTACAGGAATGATCAGTATCAAGTCTAGTTGTGCATATTGTCAGCATTTTCCGGTTCAATGATTTTTGTCAGAGTTATGGCCCTTTAATAATTTTTAATTTTAAAGTTTGTCCGGACTACTTCTCTTATACCACCAATGCAATTTCAATGAAACTTTACAGGATTGATCTGTAGCTCAAGTCCTTGGGCATATTGCAAGGGTTTTCCGGTTGAATGATTTTTGGCCGAGTTATGGCCCTTTGATAAAAAGGTGTTTTTTTCTGTGTGTTGCCAGATACACAAATAGCTTGTCCGGACTACTCCTCATAAACTACTGGTGCAATTTCATCCAAACTTTACAGGAATGATCAGTACCAAGTCTAGTTGTGCATATTGTCAGCATTTTCCGGTTCAATGATTTTTGTCAGAGTTATGGCCCTTTAATAATTTTTATTTTTAAAGTTTGTCCGGACTAGTTCTCTTATACCACTTATGCAATTTCAATGAAACTTAACAGGATTGATCTGTAGCTCAAGTCCTTGCGCATATTGCACGGGTTTTCCGGTTGAATGATTTTTGGCTGAGTTATGGCCCTTTGATAAAAAGGTGTTTTTTTTCTGTGTGTTGCCAGATACGCAAAAGCTTGTCCGGACTACTCCTCATAAGCTACTGGTGCAATTTTATCCAAACTTTACATGATTGATCAGTACCAAGTCTAGTTGTGCACTGTCCGTCTGTCACAAAATTTGTCCCAACATGAAATTGGCCATTATGAGGCGACACATGTGATTACTGATCGCTCTTGTTTATTAACTCAGATCGGGCTAAGGAAATACACTAAAAATTTATTTATTTATCATCTTTTGCATATATTTTGGTTTAAATGCCTCATTTGATTTGTGTAAGGTTTTCAAATTTTAAGCCTTTGGACTTTGGACAGCTTTTAAAATTCAACTGAATTAAGTAACTACTGAAATAATTAAAGTTAAAAGTGGATAATTTCATATTGAAATTCTAACAACAATGCTCTATATAAATTTTAATGTTGCTTATGAAGATTAAAAGTATAATATATAGTAACTACATGTACTTGGTATATTTGAACTTATCCAAATGGCTTGGTATATTTGAACTTATCCAAATGACTTAGGATATTTGAACGTATCCGAATTGCTTGGCATAATTGAACTTATCCAAATGGCTTGGTATATTTGAACTTATCCAAATGGCTTGGTATATTTGAACTTATCCAAATGGCTTGGTATATTTGAACTTATCCAAATGGCTTGGTATATGTGAACTTATCCAAATGGCTTGGTATTTTTAAACATATCCAAATGGCTTGGTATATTTAAACATATCCAAATGGCTTGGTATATTTGAACTTATCCAAATGGCTTGGTATATTTAAACTTATCCAAATGGCTTGGTATATTTGAACTTATCCAAATGGCTTGGTATATTTAAACTTATCCAAATGGCTTGGTATATTTGAACTTATCCAAATGGCTTGGTATATTTGAACTTATCCAAATGGCTTGGTATATTTAAACATATCCAAATGGCTTGGTATATTTAAACATATCCAAATGGCTTGGTATATTTGAACTTATCCAAATGGCTTGGTATATTTGAACTTATCTATAAGGAGGTATAAGTCAATCAGGGCCGGCAAAATCTGATTTTGACTTAACACTTGTCCGTTTTTATGTGAAGCATTTTTTAACTTGTTCGTATGATATTTACATAGTTAATTCTTGAAAATCTTCACTTGTCCATACAGGCTGTGGGACAACCTAGGCAATACAAACAATTGATTTTGCTGGCCCTGGTCAATTATCAATGATTCCTTGCATGTATTTTACAGGTACTTGGATAAAGAGCGACAACGTTTAGTAGAAGCTAGGAGACGTGTTGAGGAGCAGAGACGGGCATTACTAAACACGATGTCACCGACGGGTAAGCATGAAATATCATATCACAATGACAAATCTTTCTTGCCGTATGAACCGTATCATTTTTTTGAAAATAAAGAAGAACTAATACGTAATTCTTTATTTTTGCCGATAACAAAAGAATTTCCAAAAACTGACAACTGGAAATTGAAAGTGAAGTTTGTGCCAATGCCTATTGAGGATAGTGATATATGGAATAAATACAAGGAGAAGATAGTAAATGAAGAAGAGCATGAGGTAGACGAAGCAGTGAAGGCATTTCAAAGTTTTACAGAAAATAAACACCATTCTCAAAAACCTGCATATCCCAAAGTTCGCTATGTTCCTCAGTTCACAGCAGATAATGAAAATTGGCATTCTGCCAAACATCAGTCTAGGACTCATGCTAACTATAAGGACTATGTCTTGAGAAGTAAAATGAAAAACTTTGGATTAAGTCGTTCAGCGGACGATTTTCGTGAATCTTTCAAATTTGTTTCTATGCATGACGGGTATAGGACTCCAAAACATCGAGACAAGAAAATAAAAACAATACAGGATATACATGTAGGTCAGATAGAAAATAGTTCTTTGAATCAACATAGACAAAACGGTCAAGGTCAGGATTTTACCAGGAAACTTAAAGTTAAGTTTCGACCAATGCCTTCATTTGGAGAACCATATAGACCTAAAAATAATGGACCATACTGGATAGAATGAACAATGTGACATTTTTAGAAATATTCCACTACACTGTGAGAAGTTCATTTATATAAACGACACCATGGTAAAGAATCCTATTAATGAATTCAGTATTTCAGATGTGTAAGGGGGCAGGGGGGGGAGGGGGGTAGAAACTATTTCTTAAGAATTGAAGGAACTCCACTGAGACCCATAAGTCTAAAAATCCTAGAATTTGAATTTCGTACATAGTTCATCTGGGACACATAAAACAGAATTATATGCAAAAGATAATTAAATAGTATACTCAGAAATAAATTGAAAATCATATCCCTGTGCTATTCATAGCTGGATTTTAGTGTAAAGTGTTACAATCTTCAGTCATTTTTCACAATTAGGATAATAATTCTTGAAAAAAATAGAGTGAATGTTTTGATATTTTGGCAATTTGTTGTTATTGTTAGGAGAATATAATGTAACTTGTGTTAGCTGTAAATATTATAACACAGTATCAGAATGCTCAGGACATTCTAAGATTTAATATAAAAGATCAGGCAAGTTCAATTCAAGATTTTAATAGTACTGAAATGGTTTCTGTGAATTTAAGCATGTAATTTGTTTTAACCCTGTATTTGTAGACATTATAATAAGCTGTTGTCTGCAAATGAACACATACTTTCACTTTGAATTAGAAATGATATAAGGCACAGTGTAGAATTTCTATATTTTTTAGATTTTAAACACTGAACTTTTTGAGACATTATATACATATCATGTGTTGTTTTTTTTAAACAGTTTATCTTATTCTTATAATGTTGTTTATGATGCTGTCTTGCCTAGGCCAACATTATAAAGACAGACCAGCTTTCCCCTATAAAATTAGATTTTAATTCATTTTTTAAGAAGGGCAGGTCCATTGTACAATGTAGGAAATTGAAATGTTAGAGTAAGATCACATCTGCACATCTTTCCGGGTAGTGGACAAGCACAATGTGCCCTTGATGTGCAAGTGGGAGCTAGTATAGTATTGTATACTTTGTTGAGAGCTGCTGTGTTTCAATATTTTCCTGTTGTTTTAGTTGATATAAATTTATTTTAGTTTGATTGTGTTGGAATCAGAGTCACTCAAATCTGTTCCTGGAACCAGCCAGTTCTAAGCTATGAGTGTAAAGTTTCTTGCTCAAGGAAACAACGGCTTGCCCGTGACGGGATTTGAACCTACATGGTTGGTGCACAAATGATAAGAAACTATTTACTTGAGTCAGTCAGCCACAGAGCACACCAACGCCCCTTGTTACTTTGATCTTAGTTATTGATTATATTATATAATGTGCCAGTATTATAAAATGTCAACTTGGATAGTTATTAATAGATGTTATGTTTGTACCATTAGATATTTATTGTTCAATAAAATTGTTATGAATTTTATTGTGTTGATTTGTTGTCCTCCTATTATAAAGTATATATTGGTCATCTACTATTTTTCCTAAAGTTTGTATTTTAGCACAGTCAGTAGCACATTATTGACACTTGGTAAGACTCTGGTAGAAGTAGCTTCAGAATTTTAGTTTTACATCCCTGATAATTACAAATGGACAGATTCAAAATCAAAGCAAAATGAATCCAAATTCAAAAAGTCAGCAAGAAAAAATATCTAGTGATAGATTCCTGCATTTTCCCACCTATTTAACAGGAATTCATTATTGTAAATTTTACTTTTTAAGTGGATATCTTTCTTTGCTATGGCATGTCATAATTATAGGAATGAAAAACTGTTGTCATTTCCTGATGTGAAAAATATTCTTTAAGAAGTAATAATATCACAGTACATGTATTTCAATTTTATATAAATGCACTTTTCATTATGGCCTTGAACTTTGACATTTCTTATTTGCATAAAATTTAAATATTCATTATAATTTAAATTTACATATTATATCAAGTCAATGACTTCTATAATATTGTCTCCTTATTGCAGTAACAGGTTAACTCATATTGAATTTTTAATAGGACTTACCCTGTTACTGCACTAAGGGGATGAGATATTGATTTATAGATTATTGAACGTTTAATGGTAGAAAACCACTGACATTGATGATTTATTCATTCAAGTTTTCTATAGAACCTTTTTGAAATGGATTTTTAATAGCATATTATGAACAAATGTTGAATAGATTTTAAATTGAATTTTACACATTTTTTTTTTTACACATACAATGAAAAGATTTGATATTGAATGAAGAGTAGTGTACATGCTTCTTTATTTATATCGTGTTACTTCAGTCTTCCACTAGGAGTTGTAGCTTGTTCTCCTGCTTTAAAAAGAGATGTTTTTCTTTTATCATGCTTGTTTAAAATCAATATTGTTAATAATAAGATATAAACATGGTAAACATGTAAACATTTGGCTTGTTTACTTCAATCATTTACAGTTTATTTTAATGTCTATTTTTTGTATGGTAGATGTATTTACTATTTACTTTTGTTGAAAGTACTGTAAATAAATTTTATTCAGTTTAAATTGAAAAGAGTATGATGTTTTATTGCAATATTGGACCAAGTTTTAATCATATTCTTTTGAAGGCTCCCTATAGTTGTCTAACGTTAGTTTTATAAAAAAAATTGATATTAATAAAACTACACCTTGTTGTTGTTGTGTGTAAATTTCAAGTATGTAAAACATGAAGATTCTGAAACTTAACATTTCAGATGGTATAGTTTACGTGATTACAATTAAACACTTCAAGCCTTAAAAGAAGTGATCACCTGTTTTCAAGTCATTGAAGTAACATATTTAGGACCAATAGGCAAATAATATTGTTGTATCTTAAATGTTGTGTTCTTTTCTACCTATAATGCTGGCAATCAGAATAGTTCTATAACATCATGATTGCCAAGGCAGCTTTTTTGAAAAAAATTGTGGTGGCTTCATGATATATGTCAAAATGCACAATAAGCCCCTAGAATATTGAAAAGAAAGATCAAAGGTGAGCACACCCTATGACCTGCATAGAAAATGGATACCACTTTGAGTAAGCTCTGGTGACCTTTGACCTAGTAGATTAGAATTAAATGAAGGTCGAAATGTAAATATTAAGGTGGAAATGTAAATGTTAAGATGTCAATAATTTCAAATATTTTTTTTAAAAATGTATAAACTGAAGAAGAGTGTACTCTTTGTTTTTTACAGAGCAGAGACCCATAGATCCGGGGCCATCAGGGAAGCCAGCACAAGGGGTAGACTCTTACATAAAGTCCACAGTGGAAGCACTGCCACAGGCTATGGATAAAATATGGAAAATCAGGTTAGATATAAAATACCTTTTACCTTGGTTATAATGGTTGCTTCAAAATATCTAAGTTCTTCTTAATTTTGATTTTTTTGCATTAAGAGCATCATATTATTTTGTTTCTGCATAAACGACAATATTGCATTGGTAATTATCCAAGAGATTAAATGGTTTTACTGCTTATGTTGTTTATTCCATCAAGTGTAACACTGGTTATGTTAATGTGTAAAGCAATATTTCTCTCAGCCCATTTGTCAACTTTGAACACACATTATAAGTATTATTACATTATAAAGTACACAAAAATAGTACAAGAAAATAAGTTGTTACACTCTGGGTAGATTCAAGTCCTGAATCAGATCCCATCCAAGTCACACATATGCACCATTTTTAGTATCAATTGCATTTTGTTCTTGTTTGAAGATGAAAGTTTGAAGTTAGTCAGCAATCAATATAGAGCCTGATCAGACCAGATGGATGTACAACGCTACCTGGCTGTACATTATGGCAATGTCTGTCATCCCATGGTTCCTGAGCAGGTTAATGCTTGTAGGTATTATTTTGACCTGAAACCATGCCAGAGAAATGATACATGAATAATGATGGCTGTTTTTGTTGATGATAAAGCGTTATTATTATTTCAGGGAGGATTTGCAGTCCCATTATAACTACTACAAGAAACCTTACAATGGAGAGCTGGGCTTGTCCAGTTATCAGCCATGGCAGATACAAGATTATTTCATGGTATGTTTTAAAAATATTTAAATAAATTATGATGTTTAAATCATCCTGAAATGTACCTGCATATAGTCAACAAAATTGTAATCCAGAATCCACATTTAATCTTGAAGTTAAACATGTACTGTCAGAGGTTACAGCATGTTTTTTGTGGTTTTTTTTCTAAATTATTTAACATGTTTTATAAACACTGGAAAATTCATGATAAGTAGGGATGGCAACAAGTAACCGGTTAACCGAGTACTCGATCGAACGTCCGAATATCGGTTAACAAAATTGATATTCGATCACTCGGAAAAAATATATAATTTCTATTTTGTTTGCGATTTTGAAAGATAAGTGTATCCAATTAGTTCCAAAATTCGGAGATGTACATGTATCTTCATTAATACCTGTTAAATGCAATCAAAATATCCTTGCAGAGGTTTGAAAATGATATTGTAAATTTAACAAGGCAATGCGCATGGGATTGAACACCTGTGTCGCTTACGTCATCCAGCCTCTTTTGCCATTTAATTACCTCAAATTGTGCATTAATTAAAACGTTGTAAAATACAATGTTGTTGAGTTAACTTTAATTAATTTGTTTAGTTACCTCCCTTGCAGTCCCATATACGTATATATAGTTACGAATTCTATGAATTTAAATAGAAAACAAAAGTAGCATGCAGACAGTGTTGATATTGTGTGATAAAACTTTGAAGATCATTGGAAATCATCTGAGTAATCGAGTACTCGATCGGAAAAATGACCAAGTACTTGAGTACATGTATTAATTTTGGTGTTTGTTGCCATCCCTAATAATAAGGGTCACAGATAATAAGGAAACCCGACAAAATGTTACAACTTGGGTACAATGTATCATGTAATAGTGTATAAATAATTGTTATAACTGTTTAACATTTTTGTTTCAGAGTCGGGATATAGTGAACGATGTTGTAGAAGACTTCCTCAACCTTTATTTTGTACATGATGATGTAGTGGAGAAAGGCACATACAAGTATGTCATAGGTTTATGTAATTGTGAAATATTTGTAAACAAAATAACTTTGATATGAAAAAGTAAGAAAACTCTCTTACTGTCCTCAGGGCTTTCAAAAAGAATTCTATTTGAAAGACCCTGCTGTCCTTAATATTTATTATCCATGAACAAATGAAATTTAGGAATTCAAGTTACTTGATATATAGATTGTTCCTCTAGTTCAGTCAGGTGTATGGAAATAGAATGAGTGAGTTAAGAGTCCAGGGCAAGGCAAAGGTCTTCCCAGAATTTTATTTGGCAACAATATGTTTGATAATATTTGTATGCCACCAAATTCTTTTTCTTGTGGAAATTTGGAAGACATGTGGCAAAAACTTTTAACTATAAACCTAAAAGTAAATGCTTTCTGATCCAATTGAAATACTGCTAAACTGATGCTAATCTCAACAGAATAAAACAAAGAGGTAACTAAGATGGAAGATAATAGAAATACAATTTGATTAGTGAACTAATTTCAAGAAAACAAATTAATGATCAATATTGTTAACTGAGCTTGAAGGTCAGAATGCTTGTGTTGTATTTGCCAAAGCACTCATATTTCATTGTTCTTTAAGTTTTATACAGAATTGTATTTGTAATGCCCCCGCCATGTAATGGCCGGGGCATATAGTGTTACCCTGTTCCGTCATTCCGTCCTTCCGTCATTCTGTCATTCCGTCATCATCAGTTTCCATTCATTATCTTAGTAACGGTTGCACACATTTGACATATGGATATGTCATGAGAAAATACAGGTCAAGTTTCGAACATGGTCATGGTTCGATGATTTTTGGCAGGGTTATGCCCCTTTTACTTGAAAATAATATGAAATTTTCAGTTTCCGTTCATTATCTCCCCAACAGTACAACACATTCAACTCAAACTTAACATATGGATATGTCTTGAGAAAATACAGGTCAAGTTCGAATTTGGTCATGGTTCGATGATTTTTGGCAGAGTTATGCCCCTTTTACTTTGAAAATAATATGAAATTTTCAGTTTCTGTTTATAATCTCCCCAACGGTACAACACATTCAACTCAAATTTGACATATGGATATGTTTTTGGAATGCCCAGGCCAAGTTCAAATTTGGTCATGGTTCAATGATTTTTGGCAGAGTAATGCCCCTTTCACTTTGAAAATAATATGAAATTTACAGTTTCTGTTCATTATCTACCCAACAGTGTTAGATATTCAACTCAAATTTGACATATGGATATGTCAAAGGAAATGGCAGGTCAAGTTGGAATTTGGTCATGGTTCTATGATTTTTTGGCAAAGTTATGTCCCTTTCACTTTGAAAATAATATAGATACATCTTAGGAATAAGCAGTTTAAGTTTGAATTTGGTCGTGGTTCAGTGATTTTGGACAAACTTATCTTTCCTGAATTTTGGAAAATTTTTGAACTTTCAGTTTCAGCACTCATACTTTAGTGGAAATGTATGTAGCCATTATTTTGGCTACAAATATGCAATATGCTATTTTCAAAAGGTTAAGACTGAATAATTTCAGTGCCTTGAACATTGTATGAAAATGGTTTGTGTTAACATTGAAAAGTTTTAAGAGCTTTGAACTTAAAATGAAAAAAATAATTTGTGCAAACAAATTTGGAACTAAATATTATAACATCTCAAATTTTGACTGCATGCGGGGGCATCCGTGGCATGATGACACATTTCTAGTTTAAAATATAATGAGAACTGCAATTCAAAACATAAATTTTTTTCATTATAAGAGCAGACATTAACTTATTTAGTTGATGTTATCCTAAATTTTATGGTAAGGACTGAGTAATAAATGTTATGACAATTTTAGAGCCATGTTGGAGGAGGAGAAGGTGTGGATGCAGAGACAATCAGAGTCTATAGCAGAGAAAAGAGCAGTACATCTTATTGCAGAGGATATACAACTAGATGTAACTTGTTCATTTTCTCATATTGTATCTGCGTTAAAGCTTTTCATAGATGTCATAAAATTTTAACTTACACCCAAGGAGAACAGCTATAATTTGTAGGTACCATAGGTATTGTGAGGCAAGCCTGTACATCCATGTAATATGAACCTACTCTTTATTACTGTACTGCTGATCAATTTTACTCCTAATATGTTTATGATTTTGATATCCTTTGAAGTAATATTTAACAATTTTATACTCAAAATGGGGCATGAACGTTATATAAAGTGAGTATGTTACAAGTTAAAATCAGCATATAACATCATTGAAAATATATCATTCTGGCACTTTCATGTATTATTTTTCCCCAGGAGTAATGTTGTTTAATATCTCTCACTTGAACTTGTGTTATCTCAGGTGACAGCAGACATGACAGATGAAGTTATAAAGGAGATGTATCATATGTATGGTACCTTCAAAAATATGACAGATTCCATGTTAATGGCTGAAGCAGAGGTTTGTTCTCTATTTAGCTCACCTGTCACAAAGTGATATGCTGGGCTTTTGTGATCGCTTTTCGTCCCTCGGTCGTCCATTCATAAACTTTTACATTTAACGACATCTCCTCATAAACCGCAGAGCCAATTTCATCCAAACTTCTCAGGAATGTTCCTGTGGTAGTCAACTTTAGAAATTGTTCAAAGAATTTAATCCATGCAAAACTCTCCAGGTTGCTATGGCAATCAACAGAAAAAACTTAAAAAATCTTATTTTAAAAAATCCTAAGAGCTAGAGTTTAGATACTAGGCACGAAATATTTTCTAGTGAGTGTTTACCAAGTTTGTTCAAATAAAAGTCCTGGGGTCAAAATAGGCTCTGCCAGGGTGGGGGGGATCATACTTTTTCCATGACTGTGTATAGTAAAAACTTTAAAAATCTTCTTTTAAAAACCCCAAAGAGCTAGAGATTTAATATTCATCATGAAACATCTACTAATGGGTGTCTGCCAAATTTTTTCAAATAAAAGCCCTTGGGTTAAGATTGACCCCGCCCGGGAGGCTATATACAGGTGAGCGATTTCAGGGTAATCATGGCCCTCTTGTTGTTAAATTTTGTATGAATGGACATGCTACTTGCTTGCTGTTCTGTGATGTCTATTATAAATTCAGGACATGTTTTTTGCTTGTCATTATTTGTGATTGTCTGTAACTAATTCAGGACCCCCCACTTGTGGCTGTGGGGTTGTTAATTTTCGAGGCATCTGAGAATTTCAGCCACCATTTATCCCTGTGTGATTGTAAGAGGCAACTGAATGGGTTCAAATTACTAGAGTCTATGCAAGTGAGGTAGTTTTGACCCCTGGTGTTGTGTAAAGTTTGTAACACTCGGGGGGGGGGGGGGGGGTTAGCCAAAATCATCTTTCCTATCATCTTTCCTGTTTAAGGGACCTAAACATAAAAAAAACAATTCAGGACATGCTATTTTCTGGTTCTTTGTGATTGTTTGGTACAAATTCAGGACATGTTATTCGCTTGTTGTTTTCTTATTTCCTGTTACAAATTCAGGAATATCTTGATCTGAAACTTGTATTTAGATATCTTGGATTTTACTATAAAGAATCACACTTTGTGCTTCAGGGCCTTGTGAGTACCTGGTCTTGCTAAATACAAGTTCCATATCAATATAATCCTATGATTACCCTAAATCTGTCAACAATACAAACAATATTGATGTTAACAGTCAATATTTTTCTGTCAATCAACTATTTATACATATTTTTAAGAAAGTCAGTAATATTAACTTAAGTGAATTTCTAGATATTATGAAAATTCACCCAAAACATATACAGAACTAGGTGTCCATGTCTCACAACTATGCTTTTGTTACATAATGAACATACTTCATAACAGTGATAAGAAGAAATAAATCATGCACTTTGCATTAAAAAAAAAAAGACATGTCATAATTGTATGAACAGAATAATTATGTTTTTACTGAAATTATTTAAACAGGTATTAAAGTGAATTATAGACAAATAATTTTAAGTATTTCTTGATACATTGATCATGTTTTGGCGATTCATGTCATCGGACATCTATTTTATACTATCATTGATATGCTTTGCACTGAATAACAGCAGCTGTAGATTACACTATTATAAAACTAATTTTCAGATGATCTCAACAGGGAAGGATACAGAGAGGGACCCGAGTGAGCGTGCCTTCAATATGGTCACTAAAGCTTATTTTGGTGTGAAAGAAAATAGAAATAGGCACAGGTGAAAGAATAATTGTAACATTTTAATTTTTGTTGTTTTTTTTTTACCCATAATTTCAAACAACAAGCCTCTTTTGCCAATGCCAATTTCATAATGTCTAAATTTGCTGCATGTTGGGAAGTTTATTGCCCAATGCACATTGCTTTTCAAGTTTAGGGTCTCGTCAGCTTCCTCATCTCTGCTGATGTAACTGGACATTATACATGTTTTGATGACCATTCAGTTAAAGAGTCATTTGAGCCGTGCCATGACAAAACCAACATAGTGCGTTTGCGACCAGCATGGATCCAGACCAGCAGGCGCATCCGTGCAGTCTGATCAGGATCCATGCTGTTCGCTATCAGTTTCTATACTTGATTAAGGGTTTGTAAGCGAACAGCATTGATCCTGATCAGACTGCGCGGATGCGCAGGCTGGTCTGGATCCATGCTGGTCGCAAACGCATTATGTTGGTTTTGTCATGGCGCGGCTCATATGTGATTATGTCATTGACAATACAAAATTCAGAATTCAAAGTAAGATATGCTCATTTTATGAATAAAGCATGGAAAGTGTTTAAAAACAACTTATCTTAAAATTTATTGTTCATTTAACTAGATACAAATGTAGATTTTCTTAAAGTATTGTGTACTTGATACTCAGGCAGAAAAATGGCATAATAATCAGTAAATTTATTACTTTTTGTGGAAATCTTTAACAAAGAATATTTGATTTTAGGGATGATATTTGGGGTCACTCTCAGTATGCTCAAAACAAGGTGAAGAAACGTAAGATTACTAGAAAAGCTGGAGGAGAAGTTGTTGAGGAAGTGGAGGAGGTGGAGGAAGAGGAGGAGGAGTAAGTACTGCACTGCCTTGTTACACTGTTTCAAAGTTTCATGTACATTCAGATGATTATTTCAATTAATGTACCTAAGCTATACATTTCAGATGATTATTTCCAGTTTCATGTACCTAAGCTATACATTTCAGATGATTATTTCCAGTTTCATGTACCTAAGCTATACATTTCTGATGATTATATCAATGTTTCATGTGTTTTGAAGTTAATTCAATCCAATATAATACATTAACACTAAAGATGACATATGATTTTAACATTAACCAGTTAATCATTTTTAGCTCGACTATTCGAAGAATATGAGAGCTATTGTAGTCGCCCCGGCGTCGGCGTCAGCGTCCGCGTCGGCGTCTGCGTTGGTTAAAGTTTTTTGTAAAGTCAAATATCTCATTTATTACTTTAGATATTCAATTGAAACTTACAATACTTATTTATAGTAACAAGGTACATCAGATTGACAAGTGGGATAACTCTGCCTACAATATTGACAGAATTATGCCCCTTTTTAACTTAGAACTTTTGGTTAAAGTTTTTTGTAAAGTCAAATATCTCAATTATTGCTTGAGATATTCAATTGAAACTTACAATACTTATTTATAGTAACAATGTACATCAGATTGACAAGTTGGATAACTCTGCCTACAATATTGACAGAATTATGCCCCTTTTTAACTTAGAACTTTTGGTTAAAGTTTTTTGTAAAGTCAAATATCTCAATTATTGCTTGAGATATTCAATTGAAACTTACAATACTTACTTATAGTAACAAGGTTCATCAGATTGACAAGTTGGATAACTATGCCTACAATATTGACAGAATTATGCTCCTTTGGAACTTAGAAATTTTGGTTAAAGTTTATTTGTAAAGTCAAATATCTCAATTATTGCTTGAGATATTCAATTGAAATTTAAAATACTTTTTTATAGTAACAATGTACATCAGTTTGCAAAATTGCAATACTCTGCCTGCAATATTTGCAGAATTATTTGCCCCTTTGAAACTTAGAAATTTTGGTTAAACGTTAAAGGTCTTCAAAGATATTTACTTGAAACTTTACACATGCACTTAGGGTCATAATTGGAGGGTCATACTATGAAGCACTTAAAATAGTCGAGCATGCTGTCCTAACGACAGCTCTTGTTAAGTTGCTAATTAAATGTACATATAATACCATACATGTACCTTTCACTTACAATACATGTGTTTTCCATATAACAGAGCACATTAATAATTGGTAAGTATATTGCACAATATGTTTATAGAGAAAGAACATATTCATGCTTATTTCTACACACTTTCTTCCTTGGGCAATGGATTATAGAATATTATAGTCTCTTATTATTGCTATATTTAGCTTTCCAAATACATGTAGTCACTTTACTGAAAGTTTAAGTAGAAGGAATATGCATCAAATTTGATAATATGGTACTTCAAAAACATTTCCAAACTTTAACTGAATTTTCTGTCA